GAGAACAGGCCGTGTCATAGGTACAGCAGACATCAATTGCTGATATCTGTAAACAAGTAAGATAACTGTAAATAAAGTAAACAAAAGTACATTTCTTTCCTTTAGTTTTATATGTTATAATAATAAGTCTGATTCCCTATCTTAAAATGGAAAAGATAAAAATAAATATTTGATTACATTACTTCATTTTATAACATTTATTATAGTTATTCGTATAACACAGATCATAGGAGCTCAAACAGCATGCTAATTAATAAATTATAATTATAACATGAGTATAAACCTATTAGAAACCGCTTATATACTCCACATAGATACATAATTATGTAGGTACATTATATTGAGAATGCATACCTGTTGAAGCTTTGAGAGTCGAACAACATCATCCGGCCTCATCTGTTCTACAAATGGCAATGTTAAAGTGAGGCTTAGTCCATGTTTACATAATACATTACTTCCTGATAGTGAACACTGTGAGGTGGTATGTCAGGTTGTGGTTTTATAGTTTCGACTCTTGTACGGTCTCTCAGTCAGTATGGAAATCTTCATCATGGGAAGTAAGCTAAAATAAGTAATATTATTAGAATATGATATTGACTTTAGATTACACTGTATATAGATAATAGTATGGTTAAATTATGCTTTATTACCTCTTGTGGCTGAATCCAATCAAATACTATATGAGCCAGTCTTTACTCCTGTTTGTTGGCGCCTTCAATTAAAACCCTGCGTCACCTTATCATTGCAATGAATCACCCATATACGACACAAACATGCCAGTGACCAATTTGTTTGCTGGACATACTTTCAGCAACATCCCGATACATTGCTAATTGCCAGCAAGCATTGCAAATATTTTCGGTAGGAGAGATCTAGAATAAAAAGAATAAAATGATACATTATGGGTAGATAACACTATGCGCATTCTTTTATTCAGGCAACATGGTGACTTTCGACATGTTATGGGTAAACTAGGTACTTACATCTCTAGGATAAGTCCACATTGGGATATTGTTGACCACGTCTAATCTTCACTCTCATTTTCTAGAGCATGCCGTCTCATGTGCGACAAACTCTGAATGCAATTAATACACTGTAAATTCATCATCGCGACAAATAACAACACACTGCACAAAACAATGTAAATAAGTGTCTTTTCGCAATTGTCACAACAATGATTCCAATAATACCAATTTGGGCTACGGAGGAACGGTTGCCAAACTCAACGTATCACCAGATGAATAAAATAACTTCAAATTCAACAAACACATCATAACATCGCATTTGAAACAAACAGCAATGCGCCAGTATTGACAAATTAATTGTCAATGTCATCAAGACAAATGCCAGTTCAACATTGCCATAATATTCAAGTTTGTTAAAATGTTAATTATCATTAATAATCCATGTAAACGTAGATTTAGATTGGATGTAGATTTTTATATTTACTTATAAAAATGTTTGAAATGGAAAGGAAAATATTTCATTGATAGATATTAAAATAAATGAGTTTATGAAATAGCGAAATTCAATATGCTCTGATTTCATCTTTACGCATGGCAACTTTGTAAACGTCAATCGCGGTTCGTTTTACGTATAGTGGATTGTTTTTTATCATTATTGAATATCAGTTTTTCTAGGGTTTCCCAAGTTTTAAAAATCTATTAAATATGCTAACATAACGTACTTAGGAGGTTCTATAATGACCCAATTTTTTAATGACAAATCTTTTTTTAGCGAAGCGGTACAAAATCTGCCGTTCTCCTTTACCAAAGATCACTATTTTTTTTCAAAATGAAATGTAGCCTTTGTCAGATTGGAAGAATGTAGCATTCTATTGGTGAAAGAATTTTTTAAACCGGATCAGTACTTTTTGAGCCTAATCATTACAAACATACAAACATACAAAAATAGGTACAAATCTTTCCTCTTTATAATATTAGTGTAGATAACTAGTAAATGGAATGAATTCCAATTTCAATTTCACTAGGTCATGTAAGAGTTCGTTGCCACAACACCAAGTTCGATATATATATAAAACAAATGCGAATCAACATAAAGAAGCTACTACGTCAAATCTATAGGATAGTGCATTTCATGAAAATCCCCGCCATGTATTCGTATTCGTGCTAACTCTGGCAGTTTCCATTATGGCGCCGGCAGATGGCGCCACTGATGTATAGTTTGGGATTTTAAACACGAAAACTTTTCGCTCATCTCTGTGTTGTGGAGTAGTCGAAAGTCAGTGTTTTGAGGGATGTTTCATTTTACTGATTGTGTTGTGTACTCAAATATTTAAGTACCTATCTGACTGAAATTGTTCTGGATTTTATTAATTTTTCAATTAGTTTTTTTATATAAGTTCATTCGGCTGAAAGTTGATTAGTTAATCATTTGTTTTAACTTGTGATTATTATTCACCATTAAAATAAAACACTCGAAACGTTCCGTTGATGGTAAACGAAAATGAATAGCAAAAGGATTCCAGCTATCATATTCTATGTTACACATAAATTCTTACTACAACGTTGACCCATATACCTTACCGGGTCTTCTGACCAAAACTTCCCTCGCACTTCATCATTTAAACCTAATTGAAATAAACATTCCCATAACCGACATTAAAATAAACTAAACACAAAGTTTAAACAATAATAAATTTGTTCGTGCAAATGATTTACTGGGAAACACCTGGAAAACTACTTGATGTTAGCAAAGAGGAAAGTTTAAATTGCATATGTAGATTTGATCAGAACAGCTGCACTTAGTCTCCCCCGAGAAGTGAACCGGGACCTGTTTACTAACTAACGAGTGCCCGGGGACGGACGGCCTCGTAATGATGTACGAAGTTCTAGAAATGGGAATGACGACGGTGGGCAACATAAAAATGGACAATGATTGGCGTAGTGGCTAGGCAACCGGCTGTCGCGCAACTTGTAGATCGTTCGATTCTTGCACGAAGCAACTCTTTCTGTGATCCCTACATTGTTGTTCCAGGTCTGGTAATGGGTATATAAATTTATACGTTTGTGTACACACTCAAAACACGGGAGAAAATCCTAGTGTGGGGCAAAAAAAAAATAAAAGAAAGAAAGGCAAGAACTGAACAAAATAACTAAGAACTGAGGCATAGGAGTGATTACAAAATAATCAATTATATTTGGTCTAAAAATGTGCACACTGCAAAATTAAGATGTAAATATGTATCGGCAAACTCACCATCTATGTATGTATAATTGTATACATACATAAAAATTATGTGTAATGAATACTTGCAGTCTTTCAATTATGTCTAAATGAAGTTACTCTATGTATAAATGCTTTACCTTGTCGTCGTACTGTTATGATGTTTCGAGCTCTTACCTGTAACAACAGAAAATATAATCATAAGTAATGCAACTTAGAACATTAGATATTTGGGACACTTTCGGAAAAATAAGAAAATGATTTTAGTGATAACAGATGAATGGTACTTGGTTGCAAAAATTTAAAGAAATATTATAGAAAAGAGTGCATTTTTTTTTAAATTATAGTGGCATGTTTAAATAACAATTTCTTAATAAAATTTATTTCGTACGTGCTCAAGTGGCATGTATGCTCAGTACAGCCAGTTAGCAACTAGTTAGGGAAAACTTCGCCAAAGGAAAAACTCTCAAGGGAGCCTTTTAATCAGTAATTCGTGTAACTCGTATAATGATATGGATATCCTTTATAAATGGTTTCTTTTGAGTAAATCTCATTACTTTTTGAATTGTTAAATATCGTATATATTTCTATGTAATTCCGTTTTTATTTATAATTTTGTCATATTCGTTTTCACATAAAATGAAACGACGACGTAAATATCAAATATCTGACATTTAACAAATAAAAATAATAAATATTGTAATATATAATCACAGAATCATGAGGAAATATTAATAAAATCAACTAAATAATAATAAAATAAAACTATTTTCCATAAACTAATGCACGGCGCACGTATTGACGTATCCTGCAATGTCAGCTGTCAATAACAATGTCCGCCATCTTGGTTTAATCAATCATGTTCCCGCCAAATGGGACTGATTCGTTTTCGAATAGATTCGTTTGATATTTTTCTGTATTCAGTCTACGAATCAAATTGGATTTTGGATTGTTATATGAATAAAATTATTTGTATTAAAAAGATGTATTTTAGATTAATTATATTTAGGGGTTATGATTGAAGTCGTTAAAAATGCTACAGCAATAGACAAGCTATCATCAAATTATTAGGTTATCAACTAGCTTCCTGCACGTGTGGCCACAGTTTGCTAAAATATTATGTTATTCCATTTAATTTTCACACAACACATTTGGAAAATTTCATTTCAACAACAATGGTAACGTTCACGCAGGCTTGCACGTAGATGGCGCCACGGAGCGTCATTAGTGGGTCGCACTTCCGGTTCCGGTGGCTCCCGGCCTGCTTCCGGCCGCCCGCCCCATTGTGGCGGAGACCCCCGATTGTTGCTCTTGTTTTTCAGACATTTTAAATGTAACTTTTATGTCATTGTGGTGATAAGTGCTAAGAGAACGGAGAAATTAAAAAGTATCGAATTTCAAAATAAACATTTCGGTAAAAATTAATCGTATTCTTTCAAGTAGGGTACCTATGTGTAGCACAAGTACACTTCAGTAGATTACATTCAAAAACGTTTCTATTGTAAGACCTAATATTGTAGTACAAAATATTCACATTTAACTTTTTCTCTCAAGCTAGAAAAAGATAAATATGACTGTTATTGTTTCCGAAGACGACAGGTGGCAGCACGGTGCAGGTGACATATTGACCCATTTCCCGAGTGTCCGACACAACTGTCGCCGGCACTAGAAGATTATCCTTTCACTTTGTAACGCATGAAAAAGTTACGCAAAAATTTAATTAATTCCCTTACATGTTTACGCTTCGTTTAAATATATTAAAATGAGATTAAAACTATATATTATTGTGAATTTAATATACAAATCGATTAGACATACATTTCAATGCGTAAAGGAAAAATGGTTTAAATAGCGCTAGTGTTGAGGGAGCTACTATCTTCGGTGAGTTGTGCGCAACTCACTGTTGGGTCCAAAGTTCAGCTCGGGTCCAAGTATCATGGTGAAGATCAAGAGGAGCCTATGGCTTCTCTTTGTTTTGGCTGTAGGGGTCCTTGCACGACCCGATAGCGGTAAGTTTTACCATAATTTTCCTTAAACGGCACAACACAATGGATGTGAAGATACTAGAAATGACTCGATTTTTTTTTGTATTTTTTATTTTTTTTATTGGGTAAGAAGATGACCTATCGGCTGCATCATCACAGTATGCTGAGCTGCGTAGCGGCCGTGTAACAGATGTAACAGCTGAAGCAGGTAATATTTCATTTGGTAATGTTTCAATACATTAACGGGCCTACTTTAAGACGGTAATAATATAAAGTTCTTGTCAAAAAATTACCTAAATCCATTCGTACATTCGTACAAGTACGTTACATTTATTATATCTTTCACAGATGTAACATCTGAAGATGTAACAGCTGAGGACTCAGACTCCGATGAGAGTCGAATGTTCAACCCGAACGAGTTGATCGGACTGCCGTTACCCTTAGGTACAGTATTCATACCCTTAATCATCCCTAATCAATCACTTGTGACCGTCCACTGCTAAACTATAGGCTACTTTTACTTTATGGGTTTGTAATGCCATGATCTCCACACTAGACAAGCAGGCTCAGGCTAGATCGCAATTCACGCCAAATGATCAAAGAATTCTTTTCCCTCATCTGTCTAACTGTGGCATCCCTTAACCAATTCTCACGACACCCGTAAAGAACTTGAAGTGATGACAAATTGTATTACTCCATGTCGTCACCACATGAACTGGGGGCATAGCAGCACCCCGCCAAGTCAAACGCAAAACAAACACTACCGCAACATCTTTAAATGGAACCATTATTTAAATCAATATGTAGAAAAAAGGAGTTGCTTTAATGTTAATATTTTTATCTTTTTATAGAGTCGCTCCACAAATGCCACTCGCAGGGTGAAATGTATTACGAGAGGAGAGGAGCCATCTGTTTCGTCTGCGCCTGCTTCAGTTCAACTATAGGCCTCCTGTACTCCAAGTGCGTGGCCTGTGACCTGTGCGTAGGTAAGTGACTAACATGTTTCTATTTTAACATTATTATCTTTAATCATCTCAAATATTTGCGGAATGTAATCATTCATTGTTTTGTTCAACAGAGGAACATAATGCGATTCCATTACCTCCTCTACCAGGTAAGTCATTTCATCATTTATAATGTTTCTTGTTATTCTTTTCTTTGTTTCTTTTATCTTCTAGTTTGAAGTTTTTATTTTATCTTGCGTCGCGTGTCTTTGGTCATTTTCTTGGTGTTGTTGTTTAGGCTGTGTTGATGAGATTAAAATATCGTTCATCTTTTGAACTCGCTCGTTTGAGATCATTTAGATTTCTTCAAAGATTAGTATTAGTTTCGGTTTTATTTCTGTGTGTTAGGTATTGTGTCTGTGTATCCAAGTGTAAATTGATTCTATGTGTTATACTATTGGTTAAAAAGTAAAAAGTGAAGTGGTTTTGCAGATGACTAATTAAAACATATTTTTATTAAACTTTAGCTACGCGATTGACTTGGAGTCCTAAATATGGTAAATTATTTTGAATGTAATTTTATCTCTATGAAGTAACCAATCATCAGTAACTTATTACAAATCTTAACCAATACAATATACTGTTACAGAATACATTCCTATACCAGCGATATCCCCACTTCTACCATATCCACAAAAAGGTACAGAACTATTTTTATACGAATGGTGTAGAAATTAACATTCCATAGCCTTTACAATATTTTTGGACAACAAAACAGTTTTGTAACAGAAGAAGCCATAGCATACATTCGTAATGTTATCAAAATTTAAGTACACAATTTCTACTAACAGTTTAATACTATTTATATGTACATATGTAAATATGGATTACTATATTCACAAAAACACATCCACACCCAGATGCAGCGCCAGGTATAACAATATTACCAGTTCTGCTGCTACTCATCTACAATTACATATCTCGTATAATTCACAGACCTTCATCCACCTCCTCCTCCACCACAGCCAGGACAGCCAGGTACAATAATACCACTAATATTTTCTGCACCAGCTCTTTGTATTTCACTCATTAAACATACTTCTTTATTTTAATTAGCTCCAGAACTAGCTCCTGAAGTAGCTCCAGGAGCTGGTCCACCGGCACCACATCTAGGTGATTATGTCCTGTCTACTTCAACCAATTTGTTATTTGGAGGAACTTTGATATTTTACTTTTTAAATAAATATTTGTTTTCGCAGCTCCATTCCATAAACCAGATGAATTACCAGGTACAATAGTTAAATATAGCTAACTACAATTTTGTTTAATTTGTGTTATAATAGTGTGACATTGCTTCAAGCCCTATCCTTAGTATTATCTCAGTATAGTTACTTGTTTGATCTTCCACAGAAATAGCTCCGTTAGCTCCGGTATCTGTGACAACGCATGCAGGTACGCCACAAAAGAATTGTTTTGAACTAAATATACTAAAATGTACAAAATTACTAATTTGTACCATTTCAATTATTTGCAGAAGTAATTAACATATCACCTCCTGAAGGTAAATAAAATGAATCACATATATTTTTAGTTACGAAAACGGTTACAGGTCATGTAGGTGTTAGAAATATTTTTTCAGTGCATTTCCTTTTACATACATAACCAGATAAAAAATAGATAAACGGTTCCGTAAAGAACACTAAAACTTTTTTAAAACTTTAAATTCAACCAAGTACAAATAATATTTCACCATATTCTCCACAGAGCAACAACCACCACATCCATCTCCACCGCCCTTATATCCAGGTACATCTGAATCAAATATAAACGCCTACATAAAAATTAAAAGCACATCACTGCACTACTTTTTTCTAATTATGAATCAAGTAAAATAATTTCTACTTCATTTTATTCCTCACAGAGTTGCCTCCATGGCATCCATGGAATCAATCTCCATCGCCTTTACAACCAGGTAACACCACCCATATCAAACATTTTGCATATTTATTTTATTCGTAAACATTGATACAACCAGGTGCAGTTACATCACTATTACTATGTAACAGCTCTGTTTTCTTCCCTCATTATACATATTCCTTTACTTTCACCAGCTCCAGAAGTAGCTCCCGAAGCTGGTCCACCGGCACCTTATCCAGGTGATTTCTTGTCTAATTCAAACAGTTTGATTTTCGGTGGGAGATTTACATCTTAATTTTTGAATAAATATTTGTTTTTGCAGCGCCTCCCCCTGGACCACAAACGTCACCAGGTATAATAGTCAAATGTAAACGCTTACTAGCAGTCGCAGATACCATGACAGTTGTTTGTAGATTTCTTTAAGTATACAAAATATTTAAACCTGTTATTCACAGAGCAACAACCTCAGCAACCATCTCCACCGCCCTTACATCCAGGTACATTTAAGTCAAATGAAAATGGCTACTTAAAAATTAATAAAACATCAGTAATAATTTTTACTTCATTTTGTTCCTCCCAGAGTTGCCTCCATGGCATCCATGGAATCAACCTCCAGCGCCTCTACACCCAGGTACATTTTCAACTCAATTCAAAATTTTTGCATATTTATCCCAATTAAAAACAATGCCTCCAAAATAAGGTTAATGATAATGAAAATAGAAAACGTGTAAATCGAATTACTGTCGCTCACAGAATTACTTCCATCGCCCCCACCATCACCGCCAGATCACCCAGGTACATAATAGATTTTAAAGGAAATATTAAAATAAGTAACTTTTTCACTAAATGGCACCGTTTCATCACTAATATTTTCTGTATCAGGTCCACTCATTATACATTTTCCTTTATTTTCATCAGCTCCAGAAGTAGCTCCCGAAGCTGGTCCACCTGCACCTCATCCAGGTGATTTTATATCCAATATAAACAATTTGTTCTTTCATTGCAGTATGCGATCTTACTTCTATTACTAGCACTTCTACTAGTATTTTTTGTTGCCATTATATTTCCAAATAAAAAATGATGCTTGTTTTGATACACTGAACACTTTTTGTAGAGCAACCACAGCCTCATCCTCCATCACCTCTCCAACCAGGTACATGTCTAACAAGTATCATTATAAACAATCATTTTAGTCGTCCAATTTGGTAATAAGTAAGTAAAAAAACAGCCCATTCTGTCCTCAATAAGTATTTAATTATAGTTCAAATTCTTGTGATGAATTCTCTCTCATATCATTAATTTGTTTTATATCAATTTCAGAAGCGAACGTACCACCGTCGCCATATCCAGGTATAAAACTAGTTTATCAACAGTAAATGAAATAAAACATTTCATTTACTTTGTGCTGTAATATTGTAACATGGCTTTAAGCCGCAATTTAATTATTATCAGTATAGTTACTTGATTAATCTTCCACAGAAATAGCTCCGCTAGCCCCGGTATCTGTGACAACTCATTCAGGTACGTCACTAGATAATTGTTTTGAACATTATATACAAAAAATTACAAAATCACTAATTTGTACCTGTTGAATTATTTGCAGAAGTAATTAACATATCACCTCCTGCAGGTAAATAAGATGAATCATCTATATTATTTAATAGCGAAACGGTTACATATGATTTCTGGTCTTATTTAAACAATTTAAGATTTGGTAGAGTTTGAAATGTTAGTTTTTTTAAAAGATTTATTTCTGCAATGTCTTTTCCTGAACGTCATTCGTAACCAGATAGAATAATAGTAATATAAAAACGGTTCCGTAAAGAACACTAAAACTTTTTGAAAACTTTAAATTCAACCAAATACAAATAATATTGCACCATATTCTTCACAGAGCAACAACCACCACATCCATCTCCACCGCCCTTATATCCAGGTACATGTGAATCAAATATAAACGCCTACATAAAAATTAAAAGCACATCACTGCACTACTTTTTTAATTATGATCAAGTAAAATAATTTCTACTTCATTTTGTTCCTCACAGAGCTGCCTCCATGGCATCCATTGAATCAATCTCCATCGCCTCTACACCCAGGTACATTTAAACTTGTTTTACAAAATTTTGCACATTTAATTTTATCCCAAATATAAACAATGACTCCAAAATCACGATAACGACAATGAAAATATAATAAGTATATGTTGTGTTACTGTCCCTTACAGAATTACTACCATCGCCCCCACCCTCACCGCCAGATCACCCAGGTATATTATAGAATAAAAACTGTGTATGTCTGTATATTATCATTATCACAATATTGCTTATACCAAGTCAACTCAATAAACATATTTCTTTATTTTAATTAGCTCCGGAAGTGGCTCCAGAAGCTAGACCACCGGCACCTCATCCAGGTGATTCCTAGTCTAATTCAAACAGTATGTTACTAAGAGGGACTTATGAGACCTTACTTTTTGCATATAATTATGTTTCTACAGCGCCATTCATTGAGCCAGAACAACTACTAGGTTCAAAAGTTAAATATGGCGTAATTTAAGAGAGAATACCACCATATTTTGTAAATTAAATCAAGTAAATTTAATTCTATTAAACTCTGTTTTTCACAGAGCTGCCTCCATGGCATCCATGGCAACCATCTCCATCACCTCTACACCCAGGTACCTTTAAACTCATTTGAAATAATTTGTACATTTATCCCAATTATAAACAATGGCTCCAAAATTACGACACCGACAATGAAAATAGAATAAGTCTATGTTGAACTACTGTCACTCACAGAATTACTTCCATCGCACACATTACTTCCATTACCGCCAGATCACTCAAGTACCTTACAGTTTTTGAAAAATATTTAATAAATAATTTTTATAAACACTTTACTTTCAACTTCACTTTCATTTTCAAGATAGACAAGATTACGACACTATTCTTTATAAATTCGATCAAGAAACATAACTTTCATTTAATTTTGTTCCTCACAGAGCTGCCACCATGGCATCCATGGCATCCATCTCCATCACCTCCACATCCAGGTACATTTTGAACAAATATCAACCACTAGCTTCTGCCCGCGACTTCGTACGCGCAATCCCGTTTTCTCCCGTCCCCATAAGATTTTCAGGATATTTTTTTATCATAAGAACCTTCTCCTGACTATAACAAAGACAAGAAAAAAATAATCAGCCAGATTGGTCCAGCCGTTCTTAAGTTATGGCGTGACAACGGGAAACGGGTTTCATTTTTATATATATAGATTACTACTGTCATTTGTAAATTTGATTGGGTAAACTTAATTTAAATTCACACTGTTCTTCACAGAGCTGCCTCCATGGCATCCATGGAACCAACCTCCAACGCCTCTACATCCAGGTACATCTCAAAACATTTCAAACATTTATCCCAATTACAAACAGGGCGTCCGAAATCACGATGACTATAATGACAATACAATATAAATTGAATTCCTGTCACTCACAGAATTACTTCCATCGCCTCCACCGTCACCGCCAGATCACCCAGGTATATTACAGTTTTAAAGAAAATATTAAAACGATTAACTTTTGCCAACATTTTACGAAATTGTAATCCAAAGAGTTTATTATTTGGAAAGAGATTGAGATCTTAATTTTTGAATCAATATTTGTTTTTGCAGCGCCTCCCCCTGCACCACAAACGTCACCAGGTATAATAATCAAATATAAATGGTTACTTGGAATTAAAGGTCATACCATAACTGCTTGTAAATACATAAAACTTCGATGAAGTACATAAATATCAATCAACCTGTCATTCACAGAGCAACAACCACTGCAACCATCTCCACCACCCCTACATCCAGGTAACTTTAAATCTAATATACACACTTGCCTCAAAATGAAAAGAACATCACGACACTTTTTTTGTTATAAATTCGATCAAAAATAATAAATTCCATTTCACTCCGTTCTTCACAGAGCTGCCTCCATGGCATCCATGGAATCAATCTCCATCGCCTGTACACCCAGGTATATTTCAATTCGTTTTAAAAAAAACTCACAATTATCCCAATTAGAAATAATGGCTCCAAATCACGATAACGATAATAAAAATACAATAATTGTAAATTGACTAACTGTCACTCACAGAGATACTTCCATCGCCTCCACTGTCACCGCCAGATCACCCAGGTATAACAGTTTCCAAAAATAATATTAAAATTTGTAAAATTTTCTAAAATTGTTCACCATGTCATTACTAGTATTGTCTGTACCAACTTCACTCATTTGATATACTTCTATACTTTCATTAGCTCCAGAAGTAGCACCAGAAGTTAGTCCACCGCTACCGCATCCAGGTGATTTCTTGTCTAATTCAAAAACTTTGTTATTTAGAGGGAGTTAAAAATGTTACTATTTGAATATATATTTATTTTCGCAGCACCTTCCCCTGAATCATATCTATCACCAGGTATAATATACATAAAATATAATAGCTACTTTTCATGAAATAGCTTTCGTCAGACAAGTTAAAATTCGACCAAGTAAAAACAATTTTCTACCCTGTTATCCACAGAGCAACAACCACAGCATCCATCTCCATTGCCTCAACATCCAGGTACATTTAGCTAATTTAGGCTCTATAACTCGCCTCCAAAAGATTTCTCTAAACAAAACTATTCGCAGCCACCTATTGGAGAACGACACCAACTTCCAGGCATTTAGTACCCGACTTGCTTACTCTTAAGTTTTCCTTTTTATGAATTCGATCGAATAAAATTAATACTACTCCACTGTATCCCTCACAGAGCTGCCTCCATGGCATCCATGGCATCCATCTCCATCGCCTCTACACCCAGGTACATTTCAACTCAAAACTATTCAACAACCATTTATTCCATTTGTAAACAATGACACAACTACGTGCGTAGGTACCAGCTCTTTGTACTTCACTCATTAAACTTATTTCGTCGTTTTTATTAGCTTCAGACGTAGCTCCAGAACACCTTATCCAGATATTTTTTGTCCAATTTACACAATTCTTGCTATGGTTACAGTGTGAGATCTGACTTCTCTAAGACAGGCGGTAGAAATGACTAGAATTTCTACTAGTATTGCTGTTATTAGTATTACATTCAAACATGAAGCTTGATACATTTTTTTTTTTGTAGAGCAACCACATCCTCGGCCTCCATCGCCTCTCCAACCAGGTACATTTCAAAGCAATACATTATTTCTATAATGATCTATAATCACTTCAGTAGTCCAATTTGATAATCAACGAGTTTCAAGAAAACAACCGAGTTTTAAACCCGTCGTGTGTCTAAACGTGGATCCGCGCGAGACACAAAGTATTTTCGATTGTGTCTCATATCGGTGCATTCAAGCGATTAATATGTTTACGAATTAAAATTTTTGTTATGAAAAAAAATTAGGGAATAGGAATTTGAGGATGGTTGTATAATTGGGCCTCGGGGAACCTCACTCACATGGTGCACAATACAAGTATTGTTTTACGTCGGTCTTCTGTGAGGCCGTGGTATCACTCCGGTCGAGCCAGATTTTAAAAGCTTGGATTTAAAAATAATATTTTTTGGTTTACTCTTAATTCTATAATAGTGTTCTGTATTTGTTTTCGCAGCCCATAAACCAGATGAATTACCAGGTACAATAGTTAAATATAGCTACATACAATTTTGTTTTATTTCGTTTACTTTGTGTTGTAACAGTGTA